TGTTTGAACAAATTGAATTCATGAAATTAGCTCTAAGTAATCTTAATTTGTCACAAAATTGTCTAAAATTTGAAATAATGTCTTCCATCTCCTGAGACGATTCTCCTGATTCAATACTTGTCGAAAAAGCATTAAAAGTCTCTCTAAAGTATTGTACCATAATTTCTGAGATATTCCCTTTGATTAAATACTCTCTTTGGTCGATATTCAACTTGTAAAATAGAGCTGATTGCACAAATACTATAAATTGTTCTCTCAGTCTCTCTTTAATTTCCAAACAGTTTTCTAATGTCGAAAATACAATTAAATATCGTTCTGTTATATTACAAATCATATGTACAGCCTGTACCAATGAATTAATATCCGAAATACTATTAAATATTGATACATGATTCTTAATAAAATGTTGTCTCATATTTTGAATATATGGTTCAACAATTTGAGTTTTATCCATCACATTCCTCTCTGCCAACAATTTAATTTGCTGAAAACAAATTCCATTCGGATTTTCCAACAATTCTGCACAATGAGCTGCATTAATTGCAATAGTTTTTAATAATTCCTGATGACCGGAACCCGAACCAGAACCTCCAACACTATATATTTCTTGTTGTTCTTTTTGTATGGATAATGATGATGAGGAACAAGCCTTGTTTGATAAATTCCCAACAGCATTCCAACTTTGCACTTGTTGTGCAAGAATTAAATTGTTCATCATTTTTTAATTTTGGAGGGAAATTATGAAAAAATATTTAAATTTTAATAAACAAGTTTTACTTTCAATTCTCTCTCGACAACAGCAGCAGAAACAACAACAACAACGAGTAGATAGCTTTGAATCAAAAATATATAATAGAACAACAAATATTGAAGGATTGAATAGGAGTACAATAGTACAAGAAAGATTTTATAATACAAGCCTCATTAGAATGTCATCATCATCCGATAATAATAATAATTCATCATCACATGATGAGAGTATTGCACCTTCCTCTTCATCATCAGAACAACAACAAGTAGATAATAATACAAATTTTGAACAAGTGGGATGGAATCAAACTAAAATTGATAGACCAACACAGGAAGATATTCAAGTCATTGAAAAGATACAATTGAAGAAGGCTATTACAGTGCCGAATGCTATTGTGAAGAGATGTAAATGGGGATATCCACAAGTGACATTTGCATTCACTAGTAAAAACAAGGCAGAAACTTCTGAGAATACCTATGTACCAGGAACATTCCTTTGGTTGACATGTCCTAGAGTTAATTTAATTATTGATAAAGTGGAAACATCTGATGAATTTAATGAAATAAGAAGAA